CTGTGCCAGAGATACTGTTCAGTAAAATGTACATAATATTACTAATACTATTAGTACTACTACTAAAATTATTAAAACTTAAATTTTTAAGCAGTAATCACACATTTCTTCCATGTTGTTAATAGTAAATCCCCTTTGTTTGCCAAACAATTAAGTTTGTTTAATTTTCAATGTTTAAAATATAAATTAAATTAATGTATTATGCCTTCATTTGATAACCAGAAAAATTTAAATACACAACACATAATTTCTGAGGAAAAAAACATTTCATAAGGCTATTTTAAGAATAAATTTGAATAAATTAAGTTGTTTTTATGCATTCAAATGATTAGACATGCTAAAACTGAGATTTTGGTAACAATAAAACATAGTGAGAAAAAAAAAACATTTCATAACGTAGTTTTTGTTAAACTTTCAATAAATTGATGTGAAATTGTAAAAGTTTTATTATTTTAATGAATTAGACACGTTTTTTGATTAATAAAATGTAATTTAACCATTTAAAAAGGAGTCCAGAAAAATGAAAACAGAAAAAAAGGAATTTGGAAAAAACAAAATGGAATTTGGGAAAAATAAAACAGATTTCATAGGGCCCTACACAGGTGAGCACACTCCCACCAGCGGACAGAGAGTGCGCATTTGAAAATAGGTTGCGTCAAATATAATTTAATGTAACATTTTAGAAATTAGTCTGATTCAAAGGAGAATCAAAAGGCAGATTCCTGACTGACGAGAGGAGATGATGGGGATGGAGGAGGGTAATTTCAACGCGAAAGCTTTTGATAATACTGAAGGATCTTATATATGGGTGCTGTGATAGGTGTCTCATCCCTATAGGTAGACGTGGATCAGCTGAGAGTCAGCTGATACGAGCTTGACTAATGTGACCTGCCGGAACTAACACTATGCTCAATGATTCTTACAGTGTTTCCTGTCTGTGAAACTCCTTTCATACTGATAACCAGAGGTGAAAAGTCCAGGTTCAGTAAGTAAAAGTCCTCCTCAGTATTTTGTTCCAGTCACCTGGATTTGCTAATTAGCACAGTTTTTCAGTCAGGAGGTAGACCTAATTAGTGAAATCTGCTGGCTGAGTTCATGAGTGGAATAAACATATTGCAGGACTTTTACTTTCTGACCCCTGGACTTAACACCTCTGCTGATAATATATAAAACAATTCTCTCAAGTGAATCTTTGTGTGGTTATTGTAAGGGAAACAGGTCAATCTAGCTCAAAGAGAATTATTTTTTAATTTTAAAGGGAATTTGGACAGAATCACTGTTTGACGGCTGATCACTGAGTCAGCCAGCGATTAATTGAACGAGCCGTATAACATCAACTCTGCAATGGATATTAAAATCCAAAATATAGTGAAAACACTATTAATTAGCACAGTAACAAGATCGGTAGTTTAAGACATGAACTTGTAAACACAAAACACAAGATACTTCTCTTTTCAATATAAAAGACTTTATTGGATCAATCTAAGACATAGAAACGAAACAAACACAAACACACGCTCCCACATATTCACATAAGTTGCAGAAAGAGAGAAAATGAGGAAAGAATGAGTTTAAGAGAGTGAAAATGTGAAATCCCAAGTTTATAGCAACATGTGCAATTGCTTAGACCTGAACAACCATCAATCATTTAATTAACCCTCGCATTGAGTTCCTCAATGAGGCTGTTAAACTTTATATTAAATGCTAGTGATGTTCGGTTCTTGAACGAATCGTTCTTTTGAGCCGGTTCACAAATCGAACTGAATCGAACTTTAATTCCGGGTTGATGACACAGGACGCACAGCCGAAGTAGCACGTCCAACTCAAAAAGAACCGATTGATGAGCCGTGGCGAAGTTTACCGAGGATTACAGAGGACTCAACAAGCACCGAATGAGCCGTGGCGAAGTTTACCTAGGATTACAGAGGACTCGACAAGAACCGAATGAGCCGTGGCGAAGTTTGCCGAGGATTACCGAAGATTCTGATGAGTGAGTTGACGATACTGTGCAAGCCTGAGGCGCATATTGGAAATATGCTTATTATGACTGTTATAAATTTACATTTTAGTAAAACCTGCAAAAACCTTTCTGTTGAGTGATGTAAATAAATTTTACAATAGTTTGTGTATGTATATTATATTTAAAGTTGCTCAAGCAAAGTTTATAAGACTGGTTTATTCATTATACTGTAGATATGTAGAACATATCCGCGTTTGTGCATCAATGTCTGTAATGTGTGCTGTAGGTGTAAAACTTTTAGGAATCTTATCCAAGTTGTAGGCTAGTCAGTATTGGTCAGTCAGGCGTAGGCTATCTGACATAAAGGATCCTCGAATGAAACTGTGACCACAAACACCATTTGAATTATATGGCAATAATCAGCAATATGCTTTCACACAAATAACTTTATGTGTTGAAACAAATGACTTATTTGAATTTTTCATTGATACAACATGGCACTGAGTTGTTAGAAAAGAAATGCGTAGAGACGTTATTGCTTGATGACGTCAGGAACCGATGAATCGGCTTTTTGAACCGGTTCAATGAGCCAATCTGTCTGAAAAGAACCGGTTTGCAGAAATGAATCGGACTTTGCATCACTATTAGATGCACCAGTTCAGCTAGAATCTGAAGGTACTTGCGTTGCCTGTGTAGGGGGTCCCCTTTGGCTGACGAATGGTGCGGGGTCAGTGGCTGGTTGAAGTTTGAGACGGTCACAGTCAGAGTTGGACTTTGTGGCAAAACTTAACTCAGAACGCGAAACTCTCAAAGGAAAAAAAAAATCAACAGAAAAAATAAAATAAGAGTGTGACGAGACTAGATGGATTTTCTCCTCATGATGTATGGAGCAGCTGGTATGTAAGCCAGAGCATGCTCAAAGAGCGCTAAAAAAACTGCGGCAAAAAGCGATGGCGAAAAGCAGTGGTGGCAAAAACAAATTTTGTTGGTGTCCTGAGTTTTTAAACTGGGCTGTTGGACACATCCCAAATGGTGTCTTGACCAATTAGACATTGTTTTAGCTAGCGGTGTTGCTATGTTTCTCCTCCCAAAATCAACATGTTATCTTATCAGTCACATGGACGGAATTTTCCTGCTCTTGCAGAGTATAATTTGGATGCGATTTTTTATAACTAGAATATAATACATTTTACAAAGAATTGATTGATAGAAATGTTTAAAGCATGAAAATTCAAACACACACATACTAGACACGATTATAAACCTATAAGCTATTCAATAGTTATTCAAAATTATATACACATTGGGCCTCATTCATGAAACACGAGCAGAATTAATTTTTGTGTAAATCGTTCGTAAAGCCGTTCTGACGTAAACTTTCTAATTCATGAAAATGTTCGTATTTTAAAAATGTTAGTTGGTAGGAAAGAAATTTACACCTGCTCCCTACCACATGTAAATGGTGCATAAAACGTTCTTCTGTGTTCATTTTGGCAAACTGATGACACTGAATTTGATGCACTGCCATTTTAATATTTTACAAGTTCGTTTACTCCATTTTTTCCCCTTTTCTTGTAGCTGAGAGTTGATAAACTGTTTAGCTTTGGGTAAAACGCAGCGCTTGTCACGGTCACTTTTTACCCAGCCGTCCAATCAATGGAGGAGGGGCGGGACAAATACTACACCGACCAATCATCTTACTTGTACAACAACTGAGCAACAATAGAGGTTCATATTGCTTGTTACTGCATTTTTATATTCAGTAATATTCTTCTTATTGAGATACTAGTAATATGTTACTGCCGTGGATCTTTCAAATCATAGCAACCAAAGCGTCTCTCAGCTAGAAAAACGCTGTGCCAAAAGCGTTCTCCAGCACCACCAGCTGGCCGTTTTAAGAAAAGCGCCTGACAGTTTTTCAGCTGGCTAAAAACGCTTTGGTGGACACGTTATTGAATATTTATTGTTAGCATTTATGCAATATACTGGAGCCAAACCTAAGAAAGTAGACCAGAATATTCCACTGCGTTCCTGGACACGCAATTTACGTAGCTGTAATTCATAGGTGGGGATTATGCTAATTGTGAATGAGTGTGCACGAGCGCCCTATTTACGAATCATTGGAATTCATTAACATACACATGTTTAACTACCAAATCTGATGTGTACGAAGTGTTTGTGAATTCGGAGGAGAGTTTTCAGGAAGGTCCGTTTTACGTGCAAATTACTCAGAATTTACTCCTATATTTACGAATGTTTCATGAATGAGGCCCAATGAGTGATTAGGACATGATAGTCAAATGTGTGGGTTACATACATAATATGGAGTTATGCATAGGAATGATTAGTTGCTCATAAGTCATTTAAGCATCATTTAGGTGCATATATACATGTAAAGGCAGTCTCTGTGCCATTCTGTGAACGTGTGGACATGTTCGGTGAAGAACAAAGGTCAAAAGGGTTTAAAAGGAATCTCAGTCTGGTTCTTGTCTACTAGGTGAGGAAAGTCAATCCGAGGAAGTCTTTAGCTCGAGATTTCTATCATGGATTTACATGTGATGGTCATGCTGTGCGTCTCTTTGACCATCAATCTTGGTTACTTGCCCCAAATTTGACAAACTCTTTCCTGAGCTGGAACTATCAATAAGTGTTCTTTTGTTTTAATGCTGTGAGCTGTACAAAACTGCTAGTTGGTGGACTTGCTTCAGACTGGGTATCGTGGACAGATTTATGACGTTGTCTTGTTATTCTGGGCCTCTTTGTGGAATTTGGCTCTTTGGGTTGTTTCAACACCAATCTAATCGAATCTTACTCCCTCCTGAGTTGGAATTATCAATTAGGGGCCAGATTTACTAACAGCTTGCGCCAGCGCAAACCGTCTTTGGGCATTAAAATTGTACTGTCAGGTTTTACTAAAGACATGCAGTGAGGAATTAGCGCTGAAAAGGCATGATTGGCAGCTGAAATATCCCACTCCGGTGTGAATACTAATGTGGACTTTGAGGTCTCCTTGTTGACAGAAACTCTTTCCACACTGTTGGCAGGTATAAGGATTCTATACAGTATGAAATCTCATGTGGGTTTTGAGGCGTCCTTTTCGAGTAAAACAATTTCCACACAGTTTGCAGGTGTAAGGCTTCTCTCCAGTGTGAATTCTAATGTGGCTGTTAAGGGTTCCTTTTTGAGTGAAGCTTAGTCCACATTGAGGGCAGACAAAAGGTTTTTCTCCAGTGTGAATTCTATTGTGCATTTTAAGGGTTCCTTTTTTAATGAAACTTTTTCCACATTGTTGGCAATTGTAGGGCTTCTCACCAGTGTGAATTCTCAAATGGATTTCAAGGCTTTCTTTTTTAGTGAAACTTTTCCCACATTGTTGGCAGTTGAAATCGCTCTCTTTAGTGTGAATACTCATGTGGACTTTGAGATTTCCTTTTTGACAGAAACTCTTTCCACACTGTTGGCAGGTGTAAGGTTTCTCACCAGTGTGAATTCTCAAATGGATTTCAAGGCTTTCTTTTTTAGTGAAACTTTTTCCACATTGTTGGCAGTTAAAATATCTCTCTCCAGTGTGAACACTCATGTGGACTTTGAGATTTCCTTTTTGACAGAAACTCTTTCCACACTGTTGGCAGGTGTAAGGCTTCTCTCCAGTATGAATTCTCATGTGGTTTTTAAGGTCTCCTTTTTGCATGAAACTATTTCCACACAGTTTGCAGGTGTAAGTCTTCTCTTCAGTGTGAATTCTAATGTGCCTGTTAAGGGTTCCTTTTTGAGTGAAGCTTAGTCCACATTGAGAGCAGGTGTAAGGTTTCTCTCCTGTGTGAATTCTAATGTGAATGTTAAAGGTTCTTTTTTTATTAAAACTCTTTCCACATTGTTGGCAATTGAAATGACTTCTAGTTCCTGTCTTTTGAGCTTTCTTTTGTAAAGTCTGTCTAGTTTGTGAGCAACTAAAATTTTCTCCAGTGAAATAATGTTTCTTATACTGATCTTTGCCTTCCATTTCATTTGGTTCTTCACTTTTCTCTTTCAGCGGCATCAGGTCTAAAGCAGAAAGAGACCAATACAAGTTAATCCCATTTTAATGACACAAAGCAACATACATTAATACATTTCAAAATAGCAACATGTATGCTTGATACTACCCACCAAGCTAGTGGTTCTCAATTTCAGTCCTTGTGACCCCCACTCTGCATATTTTGCACATCTTTTTTAACACACCTGATTCAGATAACCAGCTCGTTAGAAGAGAGCTCCATGCATGAACTGTTTTCCGATTGACATGGTTCAAATCATACTCATCTGACAGTCTTCAGTGTGTAGCAGTGAATGAAGCGGTATCATATCATTCACAAGAGCAGTATGGAGTGCCACAAGGCTCAGTACTAGGACCATTGCTTTTCACGCTTTACATGTTACCCTTGGATACTCAGCTCTATATTTCTTCACGGCCCGATGAAACATACCAATTCGCAAAACTAATGGAATGCGTATTTGATATAAAAAACTGGATGACTAGTAATTGCCTACTGCTAAATTCTGAAAAAACAGAGGTGTTAATTATCAGACCAAAAACTCCCACATGTAATGATCTAGAACATTGTTTAACACTTGATGGCTGCTCTGTCAATTCTTCGTCATCAGTTAGAAACCTAGGTGTGCTACTTGATAACAGTCTTTCATTTGAAAGCCACGTTTCTAGCATTTGTAAAGCCGATTTTTTCCATCTTATAAAAATATTAACTAGATGAGTCCCAGAGACAGATCCCTGGCAAAGACCTCATAACCTAGACGGCCATCGTTACAAGACCATGAGAACTAGATGAATCCTCTGCTAAATCTGATTTGTTTTGCAGCCTGGAATTAAACCACACCATGTTGGTTTTGTCTGGCCAGAGGAGAACTGGCCTCCCCAACTGAGCCTGGTTTCTCCCAAGGTTTTTTCTCCATTTCTGTCACCGATGGAGTTTTGGTTCCTTGCCGCTGTCGCCTCTGGCTTGGTTATTTGCGGAAGCTTAATTTCTGGCAATACTGTCGACTTGAATGCACAGACATTATTTTAACAAAGCTGGATGATGACATCACTGAATCAATGATGAACTGACTTTAAAGGTGGGGTAAGCGATTTTTCAAAAACGCTTTAGAAAACTGATTTGGGCCGAGTAGCAAAACAAACTTGAAGCCAATCAGCAGTAAGGGGCATGTCTACTCGTGATGTGGAGGAGACAGCGTTCAGTGCACAGGACGGACATTAGCCGAGCCGAGTGACAGAAAGATAGAGATGGTGAATAAAAAACAAAAGAGGACACCAGAAATCGCTTACCCCACCTTCAACCGTAAATTGAGTGTTTAATATAGTCCTTTTGCATTATCAACACACTATTTTTCAGTTTAAGACTGTTAAGCTGCTTTGACATTCTGTATTGTAAAAATCACTATATAAAAAGGTGACTTCACTTGACATGGTCCCTACACAGTGTTCATTGCTCCCTACTCCCTGAGACTTGCAATTTTGATTGCTTCCATTGTCCTCATTTGTAAGTTACTTTGGATAAAAGCGTCTGCTAAATGACTAAATGTAAATGTACTCAGTAGTTTGTATGGCCCCCACGTGCTTGTATGCATGCCTGACAACGACCCCAACCCCAATTAGACACACCTGAACCAGCTAATCAAGCTCTTACTAGGCATATTAGAAACTTCCCAGCAGGTGTGTTAAGGCAAGTTGGAGCTAAACTCTGCAGGACACCGGCCCTCCAGGACCGAGTTTGGGCACCTCTGC